GTCCTGAAGGATGTTCATCAATGTTAATTAGTCATAGTTATCTGCAGGAGGTTGGAATTGGGGTTATTTTCATTTTATTTATTTTCCATTTTATTTAGCCTTCTCAGCATTTAGATTTACAAATGAGTATTGTTTTTATGACCAGAGAAAAATTATTTTGGAAAAAAGATTAGGGTATCTGAAAAAAATATAAAAAACCCCAAAAACCTGTGGTCTCTATTTAGCAAAAAACCCAACAAGCAGGAATGCAAAAAACCTAGGGCCCCTGTCATTTCCAGGATTATGCCAAGTATGTCTGGGGTGCATAGCGAGATGGGTATAAAGAAACAGAAGATGGGGTTTCTGCCTTTATAACAGAACTAGTGATTTAGAAGAGGACAAAAACCCAAGGCCCACAAAGTAACTTGGCCAGGGGGGAGGGGGCAGGTGTCCAGGCCAATGCAGGGATGGCACTGGACCCCAAAAGACAGCACTGGACTTGGTTCTTGACCAAGTGGGCAGTCCCATTCCACAATGGGCAGTAGCCCCACCAAGGCAGGGAGCTGCCCATGGGTTAGGTGTCCTGGGGTGGTAGCAGACTCCCAGTGCATGTGCCAAAATTGCAGTGCACAGCAGGTCCTAGGGCTGGTCAGCTGCTTGTAGCAAGGTGACAACGGGAACAGTCAGGAATGGGTGGAGGAAAGAGCCTCACCCCCAGGTGAGTTGCCTGAATGGAGATACCCACTTCACACCCAGGACTTCACGATTCTGGGGTCCCTACCAGACACAGGCTGGGCACTAGTCCAGGGGACAGGAAGGAAGAATCTAGGATTGACCAACCATCCTGGTGTGCCCAGGACTAAGAGGGCTTTAAGGACACAGGAATTTCAGTTTTAAAAACTAGATGAGTTGGTTTTCCTAGAAGAAATAATGCCTCCAATTGTAGGCAGGTTGAATTTAGTCAAGCATTCAAACAGCATGGCATCTGACCACTCAACCAAAATATAAAGTAGGTGTTCTCTACACAATCTGTTGAGGACCATGCACATTTCACCAAAGAGAGGATTTTTAGTAGGAACCACATGTCCGCCAGCATGCAAAAGGGTCCCCACCCCGTCCTTAAACCTCCACAGGGTCCCTTTTTCCCACTTCATGGACTGTTCTCATCTGAGCCTAGGGAACTTTCACCAGTTCTCCTATGAGCTCTGGGTGGCCTTAGCAATTTCTTCAACCTTGCAAAGAGGTCTCCCTCCTTACATCAGAAAACCTGAGATCTCCTCTTAACTCTGTTTCAGAGAGTCCACCCTCAGGAACTAAGAGGCCAACTGTCAGTAGGTACATCCCTCCGTCTCTGGGAACCAAGGCTAGGCCCTGCAGACTTCTGGCTTGTCACACCCAGCCTGCTAGCTGCCTCTGCTGCCATGTGCTCTCACAACTGGACATCATTTCATTCTTTCCCTTTGAAACACCAAGTCCTACTGGGAGGGCAAAAATGTGGTAGGCAGGTTGACTTGCTGGCACATTTCTGAGTGGCAGCTTTGAGAGAAATAGTCTCCTCTCTATGACACAGACGCACTTGGTCAGCTCAGAGAGTGTTGGTCTCTCCAAGCCTGAGTTTCCCCACTGAGGAGTAAAATGTCTACAGCTGCAGTGTAAAAGGAACGGGAAAGAAACTCCTCAGGGCAATAGTTCTTAGAAGAGCAGTCCTCACACTTGGGCATGCAGCAGAACCCCAGGAGGTCTGTTAAAGTACAGGCTGTAGGGCCCCACCCCCAGCATATCCCTTCAGGAGGTCTGGGGAAGGCCCAGGCCTTGTACTTCTAACCAGTTCCCAGGGGAGGTGGATGCTGCTGGTCCAGGGACCACACCCTGAGCACCACCATTCTAGAGTCTAGCATCCACATGTAGTTAGCAGGAGGCACGCCAACAGATCTACAACATGTGCCTTTGACAGAGTTCTCTTAGAAAGCTGTTTTATTAAATTACAAGGGTTTCAAAGCTTAAAAAGTATGAACTGTGTTTTGAAGAGGATCCTGTTTGTGGGAGACTTTTAAGAGGCCCTTTTTGGCCTCCTGCCCACTGACCTCTGCCCCATCTAGATGTGACCACTCTGCCTGCCCACTGCAGGCCTAGCGTCATCCAAACAGACACCCTCACAACCTGAGGGACACCTCATAGCCCCTCTCCCTTGTTCGGAAGAGGGCCCCAAATGCTGTCAGTCAGGAACACCGAAGGCCTGCCATACACGTTGAGTGAGTCCGTGTAAACACTCTCAGAAGACACAAACCCTCTCAGTCCAGGAGAGGCGAAGGCATCTCTCTCCACATAACTCTGTCCAATTTAATTTGCACTCCTATGGGTTTACTCCTGGCAGCCATTCAAGTTAACCAGCACTGAACAAAACCCATGCTTTCATGCAGCTGCCGGAGCCAGATTCCACCTGTCTTCAGTGGGGGAGGCCACAGCACATGGGTCCCTGAGCGTCTCCAGGCCTCCCACTTTCCAGTTCTTTCATTTCCTCTCTAACGCCCACCCCCGCATGCCATACTGTCCATCAGACCCGCAGGCTCTCTGACTTTATTCCAAAGCAGCCCCTCTGCCAAGGTGTCAAAGGTTATGACAGTTCGTCTCTTTGTTGTGGAAATGACCCATTTCATCTCTTACTTAAGAAACTTGCCTTTTGACCCAGGTTTCTTGAGCACACACAATTTTGGAACACCCCCCTGCCCCTCCGCCTTCCTGTGCACTAGTCTGGGGATACTGGAAGCTCAGTTTTCAGTAAGGTGGGCAATTTTGAGTAAATGCGGCTGTCGAGGCCTCAAATTAGAAGCAACATTAGCCAGTTGGCATGACAGCCAGGCAGCTATCTCTTCTATCTGCCAGGTTTTAGTTACCAGCCTCGAAGCCAAAAAGAAATGGGCTTCTTGGAAACAAAAGTGATGGAATTTGGGTTGTGAATTATATAACCCACCAGCTTTCCTCAGACTAAGGGGGATACTTTAAAAGAACGTTTTTAAGATGGAGAAATGGAGTGACAACACAGCAAAAACACCACCATCCAGCCCTCTCAGCTCCTGCCTACCTCTGAGTACCTTCTAGCCCGCCCTTGCTTTCCTCGCCAGCCCAAGAAGTTAACAAATGCTGCCGCTTTAAGAGCGGGAAGGTGTTGTTTTAAGGGCCTCTAAGCCCCACTTCTCAATTTCAGCTTGGAGCTGAGATCACATCCCCCACAGCAGCCAGGGGACAAAAGCCATTTATCAACTCATCTGATAAAACTTCCAATGGGCTGGATCTTTATCTACACCAAGCTGAGATGCACACACACTGCAAACTCCTGCTTCTCCAAAAGGGGGATTTCTTTTTATAGAAGAGGATCATTTATTTCATTTTTTTAGTTCTTGAGAGGGAACCAAATCAGACTTTCAGCCAGCCAGACCCTCTGGAGGTGGGGAAAGTGGCTTTTAAAGAGGATGGGGGGTGGAGTAGGGCACTCCGCTGCTTGACCCACGATGGAGGATTTAATAATATTCCAGGGTGAGCGTGCACGGGGTCCAAAGGCTCTTGGGGGCACTGTCACGCCTCCCACACATCTTGTCCTTGGCCAGGGTCTTCCCAGTGGCATCTAGGGCTGGGGGCAGGTTGCAGCTCTCCGGGACGCCTCTGGGGAGCACAGCTGCTGAGTGAGGTGGGTGCACTGGACCCAGCGGGGAACCCTGGAGCACAGCTGGGGAGAGAAGAGAAACTATCTCTCGCCCCTTACCGCTGCCAGTATGGCCCGCCCGTCGGGAGCCTCAACTTGCAGCCAGGCCGAGCCTGGACTGCCCAGTTCTGCCAGTTCCTGAAACCTAGTTGGCTGAGGAGCAAGACCAAACAACCCAATCCCGGTTTAACTTAAATCCTTTATTGCAAAGCTCGTCTGTGCGCAGGGGCTGCGGATCCTCCTTCGCTGCAGAGCGAAGCAAGCTCACGGTTTTGCAGAAAGACACCTCGGAACCCCGCAACACAATAGAAAACGACCGGGACATCCCGAGCCTTGCAACAGGGACCATTTGGCCCGTGACACTGGGCTTATTAGTAGTTTTAGCAAGAGAGAAATTGTTATGAAGGGTTTAACTGGTGTTCCCCGGCTGTGAGTAGCATACGGCAAAAATGAAATAGTTTCATGAAACATTATAAAGAAAACAAACCGGGGATTTAAATTTCGTGCCTTTCCCCCCTCCCCCACGAAAGGGTAAAAAAAAAAAAAAAAAGTAAAGAAACTGGAGCGTTTGGGAAGGAACAAATGCTTCTCTGTGGAGTCGGTCTCCCTTCCCCCAACAAAAACAAGAGGTCCGGGCTCGGAGGAATTTGAAAGCAGGGATCTGCCAAAAACATTGTGAAAAACTATGGGGGATTCATTGGAAACAGATGGGCTTTTTCAGCTTTAATTCTGAATTTCTCTCCCTTTCTGACACAGTAAAAACAAACAGGGGGCGACGTGGAATGTTATCAAACAGGAATACGGGCTCACGTGCGCCCGGTGCGTGGGCTTCCCCGCGTGGACAGGCCGGGGGGCGGGACGGCTCTCCAAGGAGGGGCGCGCAGGGACTTGGCTGGAACCTCAGGGGCGCACCCCTCCCTCCCCCACCGGCTCCACTCCGGGCACCAGGCAGGTTTGCGCACTGGTGGGCGAGGATCCCCCAAAGTGCCCCCTGCTGTCAGCGCGCGCCTCCCCAGCTACCTCTCCGTCGGGGACCCCCAGGGGCGCGTACCCTGCACCCCCTTTTCTGGAAGGAGGGAGGCGCCCCAGGCCCTGCGTCCTCCCCGCCAGGCTCCTTCTCACTGCAGCCGGGGCGAGGTGCCGCCTGCCCGGCGTCCCCACGGGCATGCACCGCGCCTGCGGCGGGACGCGGGGAAAACAAAGACCCGTGGAGGCGCGAGGCGGAGGCCGGCGGCGGCCCGGCGCACTTCGGCTCCGACCGGCTGGCCGGCGTGTGGCCCGGCGCGCGGCCGGCGGCCCCCAGGACAGGGCAGTGCCTTACCTGCGGGGAAGCTGCAGAAAAGGACGGCGAGGGTCGGCCAGAATCCCAGGGCTGAGCGCGGGGCCCCTCTCCCCATACCCATCCATCCAGCTCGGCCTGTTCCCACCAGCCTCTCCCTGGAAGAAGAGTTCAGAAGAAAAGGAGACAGTAAATCACGCTGCGGGGAAGGGACAGCCTCGCTCCGCCGGCGGGAGCAGCGAGCCGGGAGGCTCGGCCCCTCTCGGCCGCGGGCGCCCGGCGCTCCCCCGCGCCCCGCCGCCATCCATCACTCGGGTCCCCTCCAATGTGCGCGCGGCCCCGCCACCCCCGCGCCGCGCGGCCCGCCCCCTCGCGCTCGGGTTTCAGCGCGGCCCGCGGGGGGCGGAGCCGCTGCGGGGGCCTCGGGGCCGGGGGCCGGGGCTGGAGGGGCGCCCCCGCTCCGCGACCCCCGCGGCTCCCCCTCAGTGCCCCGGGGCGGCCTGCCCAGCGCGAGGGCGGCAGAGCGCCCCCCCCTCTCCCGCATATGCCTTGTAAACATCTAACCCGACTAGAAACGCTGCTAGCAGACAAACCCCAGGACCCCTTCTTCCACCGAGACTGCCGCCCCGAGGCCGCCGCCGACACCCCCTGGCTCATTTCTCTCACTCAGAGGTGTCCGCGGCGCGGGAGGCTGGAAAACCCGTTTCCGAATTGTCGGTGGTTTTCCGGGACGGCCCGCTGGCCGCTGGCCGCGAACGCACCTCGAGGCTCCCGCCCTCCGCGGCCCCGGGCCACCCACCCGGCCCGGGCTGCGCTGCCTCCAGCAGCCCCGCCAAGCACCTTGCTGCTGCTTCCCGAGTCCTTGCCCGGGCTGCGCTCCCCACTTGGGGGCCTTCGAGCCCGGCGGAGGGGGCAGGAGGCCGGCTGCCACCCCGGAGGAGGTGTGGATCGCCAGTGCGCAGGGCCCGGCCACCTGGCGCTGCCCGGGCAAGGCTCCCGAGGCTGCTCCGGGGAGGGCATCAGGGTGGCGACTTCCCTCAATTTGGTCGCTTATTTTTCCAGGAGGAAAACGCCTCCTCCCCCATCCTTCGGCCCGGCAGCTCTTCTGCCGCTGGTGGGATATTTAAGAGACTGGCAACTTCCTCTGGGAAACATCGTTTGGATGGAACGGCCATAGGCCAGAGCAAGTGTTTTGGTCCATCCCTCCTTGGCCCCCCTCACCTCACTTCCAAGACTGCTCATCTGGTTCTTGGGGTGGGGTGGGGGTGAAATCTCTGAGTTTTTATCCAATTCAGATGTTTCTCTAAGGCACTATTGCAGTGCTCACTTGCTGAAGGCGGCACAGGCTGCGAGGCTTGTGTCTGAATTTAGGGGGGTTCCTGCCAGGAGGGGAGTGTATCTGGAGGAGGAAGCCCGGGGCACCGGGAAGAAAGCTCCGTGTCCCTAAAGCACCCTCTGAAGCAGTAACGCTTCTGGATCTGGCTTCTCCAGTTACGGGGGCTAAAGTCCCAGCCAGCTGCGCGGGGGGCTGGGGGTGGGGGTGGGTGCAGAAGGAAGCTGTTGCCTCCTTAGGGCAAAATGCCGTGATGGCATCTGCTCGCTCACCTTTACAGTGAGGGTGCCCTCAAGTTTCTTTTTTTTAATGGTATTTCCCTCAAATATTTCAGTCTCAGTCCAGAAGGCTCTAATTATCATTCCCCCAAACCGGGGTTCACTGTAAGACCCAGTTTGCAAAATGCTACAGGTTTGTCTACCCACCACAAAGTTCAGGTCTCGAATGACATTCCGAGGCTTGGCGCGTTTTGGGGACAGACCCAGCACACTGAGGCAGGCAAGGGGCCAGAGTGCACAGAGGGGCCTTTGAGGTCCACCAATTAACACCATTGGCTGGATTCTGCCTTTCACAAGTTGGTTCTAAAGCTCCTCGCTAATGAGAGAGAAGGGATCCATTAGCATTCCCAGCAGCCCTAGCAATAAATTAACCCGCACCACCACCACGGCTGGGTCGGAGAGCAACTCCGGACCTAGCAGAGGCTGTGCAGGCTTCAGAAGGCTGGGAAGCAGGCCCTCCCAGCACTGTCCTTGCCCAAGTATGGCAAGGACACACTTTTAGACTCCACGTCAGTTCCTTCATCTGTAAGGCACAAGTTGCTGAGACTGTCACTAATATCGAGACTGCAAACAAATACAATTTGGGAGGGGCACCAGGCCAGTGGGAGCTCCACAGTGCTTCTGCGAGGGGACTGGTTGCCATTCTGGGAGGAGAGCCCGTTCTCACGGCCTAAGCAAGTGATTTGGGAAAGGGATGCAAAGGGCTTTTTTTCTCACGTGGAGAATGTGTGAGGCTGAATTTGGACATCAGAGATGTGGGGATTGGACTTGACATGGTATAGACTATCAAGAGAAATCCAGCCCCAAACAGAGCAGTACGGATGGGGTTGACCTTGAGGAATCTGTAGATACTGGCCAAACTAACCAGTTATTGACAGCTCCCCAACTCCTTACAGGAATAAGAAATTCTTCAAAGGCTGGGCTTAGGAACTTGGCACTCGGTTCACCATAGGAGCTCACTTAACTCAGAGTGCAGCTGGCTTCAGACAAATAGCTCGCATTATATGCTGACCACTTACATTCTCCCCTAGGTTGTAGCCTGGACCTTAGCGTAGAGACCTTTTCTTGCACGGCTTTGCTTCCTTCCCCCAAGCCCTGGCTGGAGGTCCCACCACTGAACCCTCACCCCCATCTCTCCCTCTCCACCTTCAGGCACTGGTGTTGAGTGGAGGAAGGGCAGGGGGCTTCTGAAAGGCAGGGTCTGCATAAGGCTGGAGCCCCCACCACCACCCACACCCTCCACAGGGGTGGACAGGGATGCCAGCTTTCCCTGCCTCTGGGTATGGACAGGATGTTCTCAAATCCAGGGCCTGAGTCATCAGTCAAAACATATATATACAGGACAACTGCATGCTAGTCCCTAGAGGATAAAGCAATCAATAGGACAGCCTATATCTTTGACCTGCTGGTAGAAACAGGTATTAGAGGAGGCCAGGGGAAGTGAGAGGTGAGGAGTGAACTACTACCTAGGGAAGGCTTTCCCAGAAAGGTGGTGAGTCTGCCGGGTGTCTTGAAGGATTCATTTTTAGGAAGTGTGGCAGTAATAATGGCTAATGTTTCAGTGTATGCTTACATTACGTCAGGTGCTGGCTAAGTACTTCACGTATCTAGACTCTTTCAGCTAAGATAGGTTCTGTTATCACCCCTATTTTGCAGATGAAGAAACTGAGGCTGAATGAGCTTAAGTACTCACTCAGTTCCTGGCTAATCAACTGCACACCAACCCCCGGCCTGATGGGCTGTATGTGCCGTTCATGCCAATGATGCAAGTCTGCACTGGGTCTACAGTCAAGGTAAGACTGATATTTCAATAAAGCGTAACACAGACTGACAGAGGAGACAGTTCTCACAGGGAACACAGGCGCCAGGGGCCTCCAGCCCAGCCTGGGGTGCAGGGTGGGGAGGACAGGTTTCCCAGTGTGGGTGTGTGCCAGGGGAAGATGGTGGGCAAGGGAGGGAGGAGCAGGGCAAGGATTCCAGGCAGAAGGAACAATGAGAATAACATGTACCAAGGTGTGGCTTGCCTGAGGAGCTGGGAGGGCTTGGGGGTGGCTATAGGAGAAAGAGGTGAGGCTGCAGAGAGGGCAGGGGCTGGGGACAGCCTGTGAAGGCCAGCGCATGGCGCATGCTTTGCTAGGGTGTACGTTTTTAGCACCTGTGAGCCCCACACACGGCCTCTAGAAAGGGAGGGATTTATTCTTTTGGGAGACCACTGTAGGGGGCTTAGCAGTAATACAGATGCCCAGGCCCCACTCCAGGGCAGCTGAATCTGAATCCCTGGATGTAGAGCCTAAGCATCTGCATTTTCAATGAGCTCTCCCAGGTAACTAATGTATAGGGACTCCCCAGGTTCCTAAGCTCCATCACCCTCCATTGAGCCTGGGTGCACATAAGGACAAGGTTGAGTCAACCAGTTTATCCTCTTGGACTTAAGAGTCAAGGCAAGACAGATAACGCAACAATCACTTTCAATAAGCATAGACTGGCCCATGACCCAAGCTGACCAATTAGAATCTGCCCTGAGACTGTTGCTATGGGCAAGCCCCCAATTCTGGTCTCTGATACCTACAGAGGTTGGGGTCTGGGAAAGCAATCAGATGGGAAGGTGAGGGTCTGAGTGCTGGTGGGTGGAGGCTGTTGTTTGCAGAGCTGGCATACTGTTTTTACTGTTTTAAAGTGGTAAAGTTGCATTTTACCATGGTGAGCTTTTGGGGGACTGATAGAGATTTTCAGGGCTAAGCCCCCACCTCCCCAGACCACTGTTCAGCTTGTTATCCTCCCTGTAGCTCCTCCTTGGCTCCTCTGAGCTGTACTAGTACCTGTTCCAGCAATAGGAGCCAACAACGTTCTTTTTTTTGCTGAAACTGGCTTCATTTAGGTTTCTCTCACTTGTACACACAGACTCCTGACTAATAAAGAGGAAGCTAATGACCCAACACAGGTCCCAAGAAGTATTTTCGCCAACTTCAGGAGTAGAGGGATATGTTGGCGATGGCTCTTAATCCATCATTCATTTCCTGGCAAAATTTCTTGAGCCTCCTCCCACCCTCTCCACCCAGCACCTCTGAAAACCTTTTCCTATACCATGTCTTCAGGAACTCAGTTCTTCAATTTACAACTCAGAGTGGGACCCAATCCTTTTGAATTTATCCCCCAAATTCCTCTTTCAAACATCAAGGGCTACTGTGGGTCTGGGCCTCTCAGATTTGATGAACCAGACTTGATTCACTCTTCCCAAAACTGTGTTAAGAAGTCAGAGCTGCTGTACTGAATGAAGAACACACAGATTATGACCAGCTGAGCAAGGACGCACAAGTCCCCCACCACGGGGGTTGGCAGGGAGCTCCCTCAGCACCCCAGATCCCACGCTGGGGGAGTGAAGCCACAGGGTCATTTTGATTGAAGGTGCAGTTTCAATGCACACACACAAAGGAAGTAAAGTCACAAGATGTGCTACTTGCAGGGGCCAGATGCAGGACGTGTGTGTGGGAGGGTGCGCTGAGGCAGGGGAAAGTGTCCTTCACCAGTGAGCAGGAGACAGAGGGCA